TCGGCAAAGTTAGCCTACTTACGAGCTCGATTATTACGCTTTCTATTCTATCGATTAAATAGGCGCGAATCGACTCGCTTTAGGTCTTTTAGAAGGAAGGTAGGGCTACTACCCTTCGACGGTCTTTTACTATTTCCTACTAGCGGTAGGCGATTCTACTAAGGGGCGTTAGGTAGGCGATTCTGCTAATAGGCGTTAGTAAGGCGTAGTAGGTTCGGTCGGTCGATATCGCGGTTCCGATAGTTAGGGGATACTCTTACTAGAGCGAAGCTCGCTAGAGTATAAGAGGCGTTCCCTTTATATCGGTTCTACTAGGTAGCCTTACTAGCGCGGCTATTATTCCTAGTCGTAGCGTTTTAGCGACGATTAGACGAGGACGAAAGTATATACTCCTAGATTAATGCCTACTTCTCGTAGTACGTAATCTACTTATCGACCTTTATACGACAATTTAGCTCGTCTATATTTAATTAAAGGCGCGGGTCTATTCGATAGTAAGCTTCTAAGAGCCGGTTCGATTTCCGTACGCCGGTATTCTTAGCGAGTCGTACCGTCTTAATAATAAAGTCCGTTACTAAACGCCCTAAAGCGATATCCTACCGGTCGTAGCGTTGCTTATCGAGGAGATCTATCGCCTTTATCGAAGGGACCTTCTATTTCTTGCTAAGATAACGTTCCTAGCGCTTTAGACCGTATCCGCCGCGGAGCTTTACTCGGTTACGGCTAGAAAGGTAACTATAATACTAGCTAAGCGCTACCCCTCGAAAGCAAAGGGAGAAGTTAAAACGAACTGTCTCTCGCCTTACGATATAAGCATAATCCTTAGCCGCTTCGATAAAAGTATATACCGAACGGTATATTATCTTGTTCCTAACTAAGGCGTAGTCTCCCTCGCTATAATCCGTAACGCTAAGTAGAGGATCGAAGAACCTAAGATACGCTAGATCGAACTATAGCCGCTAGAGGTAGGCGTAGTACCCCTAGATATAACTCGCTTTAGAAACTAGCGCTTCCGCGACGTAGTCCTGATAATGCTAATAGTATCTACGACGGCGGGCGTGTCTATAATAACTAGTATCTAAGGAACTGTCGTTATCTAACGAGGATTAATCGGAGTCGTCCGAATCCTTACTATTAGATAAAAATCTATCCTTACTTAGATTATCCCTATACCGACGGTATTTCCGGCGTTACTTCTTGCCTTCCTATAGTAGACTCTATAAGTCTAATAGCAGAAAGGGTAAAGGCTAACCCTACGTCGGCTTACGAGAGGAATTACTTAGATTAAAGTTACTAGGTAGTAGTAGTAGAGGATCGTTAGGAGGATTTCCGGGTAGGTTGCTAGGAGGATTATCGGGCGGATTGCTAGGTAGATCGCCTAGCGCAAACCCGCCCCGACGTAAGTAGCTATACCTATAGGTATTTATATATACGTCTACCCTCTACTAGTAATCGTATTAACCCGGATTCGGCTAGGGCGGACTTAGCTTACGCGTCGCCGATAGCGGTAAAATCGCCTATTCTATTAGAAAGTCTAATACGACTTCGTTAAGATAGACTCCTCTCCGTCTAGCTAATTCGCGAAGATAATTACGACGCTAACGGTTTTATTATATAGCGATATTCGCCCTATCGATCTCCTCGGTTGTCTATAAGGTATCTGCTAGGATACAATATTAGAAACGACTACGCGGCTCGTTAGCCTACGGGTCGGCAAGGCCGTCGTTTATTAGAGGCAATTAGCCGCGACTAATATCCTAGAACGGCGACGTCGATAGATTAGAAGGCCCGGTTAACGGTTCCTTAGGGGAAGTCTTAGGTAGAGGCCCCCTTAGCTTCTAAGGATTCTCGTCCGCCGGGTATTATAGCTTAAGTAGCCTCCGTAAGAAAACCGATTTAAGCGAGCTATTAGGCGAACCTAGACGCTTTTCCTACGGTACGGTTGTTTCTACCGTAGTAATAGGCGAAACCGTAGGCCGCGGTAGAACTTAAGGCGGTCGGGCTAGTAGGCGCTACTCTACTATAGGTAGTAGATAGATCTCTAGATAGAATTAACGGTAATAGCGTAAATCGCGTACTATTAGGAGCGCGGCTTTAAGCTCCTTAACCGATTTAGTTAGAATTCCTTTATCTACTATCTACTATCCTAGGAAGTTGTAACTATTAAGGGCGTCTAGGTAGAGTTCCTCGATTTTAGCCTATAGAGGCGGCGGATTTCCTACGAGCAGGTAATAATATAGAACGTATAAGGTAAGCAAGTCGATTCGGCCGTACTTTGCCCTAAGCTAGGTCGCGAAGTTCTCGCTATAATCGACGTAGTTCTAAATATAGGAATAGATGCGTAGGATATAGGGCTCTATATCTAGTAATCCGAGATTATAGTACTAGGGTAGCGGTTAAACCGCTAGCTTAGCTAATTTCGAGGCTTCTACCGGAGTTAGAAGCGAGTCCGAAGGAGCTACGGTAAGCGGGTAAACTATTAGTAAGAGGGTAGAGGCGAGATAGTCTCTAAACGGAGGACAATAACGGAGAACCGACTAAAGGCGGAGGAGCGTAGCTTATCGGGCAGGTCCTCCTAGGGAAAGCGGCTACCCCTAGACCTAGGTATAGTAGGCAATTGCTACTAAAGGTAGAAACTACTACTACTATCTCCTCGGGGTACTAATAGGATCGCTAATAAGGCGCTCGCGCGTCGGTAGGGTATAGTACGGAAGGGTAGTAAATCGAATAGGTACCGTCGTAACGGGTAGGAGTTAAATCGTAGCGATTAGCGGAAGATCGGTAGGACCCGTAGCTAATCGCGTCGATTCTCGTCGTAGCCGTAACGACTAGGGTCGATTCGGGTAGAGGACTAGTAGTTAGTATAGAAGCTAACTAAGTATTAAGCGAAGCTACTAAGTTGCTAGGCATACGGTTATAGTACGAAGGTATTGTAACGGTTATGCGGTATAAAAGTTAATATATTCTCTAAGGTGCTACGAGGCAAGCTATCTATATAATAGTCCTACTATTAGTAGCAATAGCGACCGTAGCGGTCGATAGTAACCGCTGCCTACTATCGTATATGCAATAGTGTTATATCGTAATAAATAGTATATACTCGATAAGATTAAAGAGCCTAGTACTAAGAAGCCTAATAAGCCGCGGTCTTAGTATATAGGCCGATATAAGTACTATTAGGGGATTATCTATAAATATACTATAATCGATAAGATTATAGGAACTAGCTTCTTCTACTAGAGTCTTTTAGACTTCGATAGGTACTAGTATATCGATAAGTCCGTAGTACTACTAGCTCGTATTATAGAGATTATATAGACCTAAGACTTTACTATAATACCTAATAATCGTAGAGCTTATAGTAATAATAGCGGCCGTAGTAATAGCGGCCGTACTAAGCGTATAAATATACGAGACCCTTCTAGCTTTATTTAATTTAAATATAACAATCCTAATAATACGGCTTCTTAATCGACTCGTAGCCGTAGCCGTAGCTATAGTAGAGCGAGAGCTTCTATATAACAACCTCGAGTCTATATACCTACTAAGCGATACTAGCTTTCTAGTAATAATCTAGCTAGTATTTAACAAGCCGGCGTAGCTATAGCACTTTAAGGGGCTTTATATATACCGCTAGCTATAATATAGCTAGCTAAGTAATACTAATTTTAAGTAACCTATCTAGTTCTATAGTACTTAATAACTACCGCTAAGACTCGCGCCGCTAGTAGGTCCGCTAGTAGCGACTTAGCCGACTATATTTAGAGCCGCTCTACTACTATCTTATTAATAGGCATTTGCCTAGTAATAGTACTAATAGTAATAGTAGTATAGAAGTTAGTTTATACCGTAGTAAGAGCTTCGCTTATATCTGCGATAGTATTATTCTATAGGCTTAGGCAACTAGTACTAGAATATAGTCTAATTATTAATTAAGGTCTACGGGTTTATATTAATATCTACGTAACTAGCGGGCTCGAGAATACCCTCCTACCTAGCTATAATTATTACTATATACGTTAGGGTCCGATACTAAGGAGCGGAAGCCGTATTAATATAGCGTTTCATATAGCGAGAGGGTTAAGGCGGCCCCCCCCCCCCCCCCCCCCCCCTAATAGAAACCGGAAGCATGACCTGTGGCAACAGACGAAAATAATATAGGCAATGGACGAATACCAAATCCCAAACAATCCCATCTCTAGTCTGGTCTCGAGATAGGTGAACTCCGCATCATGGATGTGCCGGAAAGGACTTCCTCATTGAATTGATACTGTATCGGATTCCGAACATTTCTCGGCACTGTCCGCCTACACCGCAACACCGCGAAAGGGCGTAAGGGCATGCAGCTTCCATATAAGCGACAAGCTCCAATGCATAGATAGAACAGCGCGAGTCAAGATCGACGCACGTTGGAACTAGCGAGTGGTGGCAGCAAGGTAAACAGTCGTACCCATTGTTTCTTTCACTATTCTTTGCAGCATCAGCATCACTACCAAGCAGGTTTTTTGAACAGCAAGCATTACATTACGTACAGCGTACTCCAAGGCATTGGAGCTCCCTCACGCACACCGCGCGTTCCATGGTGTGCGGGACTGGTTTCGATCAAAGCCATCTAGGACTTCAGCACACCTCGTACGGTCATACGAATCTCTTGCACTCATACCGACGTAACGACCGCGATTCCTGGAAGGCATAGGCACATTCGTGCTCCGGAAGAGCGTGAAGCAGCAGACTTCCACACCGCGTATTCACAGTCAGCATACATCTCCGACACAATGTCGAAAGCAATTCCCGACCGAAATCGTAGCGGATCACCTGCAACATCACGTACGAGCCGAAGCTTTGGCGCAAGCTATCGATCGCAACATGGCGAATACATGGCGGCTCTGGCAGAAGAGTCTGTGGCAAGAGACGCGGAAGATTCAGATTTTGACGACGAAGATGATTTGGAAACGCCAATAATTAATGGCGCGCCATTGTCCAGGGTGGGTACACAGGATATGCCAATCCTGGGACAGCACTCCATGGCTGGATACTACCGAAGACCTTCACATGTCGTGGGCACTCCGAGGCCATTCTTGGGCGCTCTACAACCGGAAGCTGTCGTACCTGCAGATCAGGAGTGGGAAGCGGCAATCAGCGAGGAGAGGAGTTTGCTGAGAGATAACAATATCATTCCACCTAAGCATCCGAGACGAAGAGAAAGTGGCGCCAGCGATACGGGCATGGGAGCTTCGTTGAGGAGAATGGTCAGCTCGACTCTCCGCAGGAAGAGCCAAGCTGTAGCAGTAGAAGAAGATGGTGCCGCAGATCAATCACCCGCCGGCGAAACAACTGCCCTTCTTGGAGATGACAGGAGTCATCTTCCCTATGGCGGTGAAGACACGCCTGAGAACATCGCTAAGAAATGGGAGGAAGCAGTCATGTCCGGCAAGATTCAAACGACCTGGCAGCGTGAATCGAAGACCTTGATCCGATATTCAGCACCCCTGATCGTGACCTTCCTTTTGCAGACCAGCTTGACCCTGACCTCGGTCTTCACAGTGGGCCATATCGGTAAGAACGAGCTTGGAGCTGTATCTCTCGGCTCCATGACTGCAAACATTACCGGCTATTCAGTCTACCACGGTCTCGCCACTTCTCTCGACACACTCTGCGCGCAAGCCTACGGATCAGGAAAGAAGAAACTCGTCGGTCTCCAACTCCAGCGCATGGTAGTCTTCCTCTGGGTAATCACCATTCCAATCGCGATCATCTGGCTCGCAGGAACACAGATCCTATACGCCATCGTTCCCGAGAAAGAAATCGCAGAACTCGCCGGCCAATACCTCAAGATCCTCATCATCGGTGCTCCAGGCTACGCATGCTTCGAATCCGCAAAACGTTACGTCCAAGCCCAAGGCCAATTCACCGCAAATCTTTACGTCCTCCTCATCGCCGCACCTCTAAACATCCTCATGCACTGGCTCTTCGTCTGGAAATTCGGCTGGGGTTTCATCGGCTGTCCAATCGCAATCGTAATCACCGAAACCCTCATGCCAATGCTCCTCCTCCTCTACGTCCGCTTCTTCGTAGGAATGGAATGCTGGCCCGGCTTCACCCGCAAAGCCTTCGTAAACTGGGGCCCAATGGTCCGCCTCGCCCTCCCAGGCCTCGTAATGGTCCTAGCCGAATTCCTCGCCTTCGAAATCCTAACCCTAGCCTCAGCCCGCATCTCCTCCACCGCTCTCGCCGCAAACTCCATCCTCCAATCCGTCTCCCTCCTCGCATACCAACTCCCCTTCCCCCTCAGCGTCGCAGCCTCCACACGAGTCGCAAACTTGACCGGCGCCGGCTTGCCAGACGCAGCAAAAGTCACTACCAAAGTCACCTTCATCTTGGGCATATTCTTGGGAGTTTTCAATCTCACTCTCCTGAGTTCTTTAAAAGATCACATTCCAAAATTATACACCGGAGAAGCCGAGGTCATATCTCTAGCAGCAGCCTCTTTACCCGTCGTCGCTACTCTCCAATTATTCGACTCCTTGGCCGCGCAATGTAACGGTCTCCTCCGTGGTCTCGGAAAACAAGAACTTGGCGGATATGTGAATCTTTTTGCTTATTATGCGGTGAGTAGGTCCCGAATGAACGAAAGAAGTGAGGATAACGCCGCGCTCCTCTTCTTCTCCGTTGTCTTTGGAATCTCGCTGACGTGACTCTCGATTTCTTAAGATCGCTCTCCCTATGTCTTTCGGGTTAGGTTTCGGACTTCATTGGGACTTAATTGGACTTTGGGCCGGTCCGGCTTTGGGTTTGGGGATTGTTTTTGCTTTGGAAGGGTTTTATTTGTCGAGGCTTTCTTATGAGAAGGCTTCGGAGGAGGCGGCGAAGAGGAATGCTCAAGGGTGAAAAGGAAAAAGATTTTGATTTGGGTACGGGCAGGCGATGTGAAGGGAGGAGTTGCAAATGGAAATTTTCGAGACAGGTTTGTTGATGTAGGAACAGGGGGAGAGAGAGAGAGAGAGAGACAAGGGAGATGCAGTTGTATATGCGTGTGAATATGATGATGAACGATCTACCTTATCCGATGCCGGCATCCTTTACTTTTCTACAATTCTCCAAATAAATTCTGCCCGAAAAAAAGTATAGATGTCTAGATCCTTTACAATTCACATTCCATCCTATTATCGATCCCTCCCCAACCTCTCCTCCTCATCCTCAACAAGCTCATAAGCCGGCCTATACCCCTCTCCCTCCCCTCTATTCAACGCAGGATTCGGATGCGTATCATCCGTCCCTCCCAAACTCGTATACCCCAAATCATACAACTCACAATACTCGACCCCCAACTCCCTTATAAACCCCCAAATCTCTGCATAATGCCAATCAATCACGGGATGTATGCGCATAAATCTCGGCCAATTTTTATCCGTCATGTCGAAAGTTTTTAAATTTTTTCCATGCGGATCTGTGCGTCGTGTGCCGACGAATATGGCTTTTATGGATGGGAAGTCGGATAAGTAGGCGCTGAAGGCTTCGAGCATGGGTTTGTGGTATTGAGTTAGGGAGAGGTGGTAGTGTTGGGAGGAGGTTGTGACGAAGGTTGTTACGGCGGAGAAGGGGTTTGGGGAGACGATGTAGACGGATCGGAGGGTGGGTGGGAGAGGGGTGGAGGTTGTTGTTGAGTGGGTGTGGAGCGCGGCCAGGTAGAGGATTAGGAGGACTAGACAGTCTTTTCCGCCGTTGTAGGAGAGGGAGAGTTCGGAGAGACTAATAGATGATACAATGTCAGTGTGAGGTTGGGTTTGGAGTTGGGCGTGGATGTGGATGTGGGTTTTACTCACGAATACCTCTTCAAGGCCTCCGCAATCACACGCAAACTCTCCCTCGTCATGCGCTGGACATTTTCCACTCGTTCGCTTCTTGGGGTCTGGTTCAAGAAGTCATAGACCTTTTTGTGAACCCTCGCACACTGCTCACTCAGATTCTTTGCATCTTCTATCGCGGCTCCATTGGCGTGAGATGTGTTCGCTGACGTCTTCGTCTCATCTCCGACAGCAGTTCCGTGCATCACCCATGAACTCGACGAAAAGGACGGTGGAAGGCGGTTGGTGAGGCTGTTGCTATGAGAGAGGGCCGTGCAACATGTCTGGAAGAGCGAGCGTGGTTGTGTGAGGATCGGAGAAGTTTGAGATTCAGATGATGGAGTTGCGGTTGCGCTCATGCTGGTCTTGGCGGAGTGGAGGGGACCCTGGATGCGGATGCGGCTCTGGAGATTTAGAGTTCCACTGCCGCGGCGGGGCTGAAGAAGTGAATGATCCTCACGTAGAGGGTCTTGGAAGGTGCCTTGGGGTAAACTACGAGGACTTCGGTTGGTGGGAGAGAATGAGAATGAGTGTCAGTCTTCTTCACTGCTGACTGTGGTCGCTGGCTGAGCTGAAGTGGTGACGCACTCATCATCGTTAAATCCATTCGGCATTGGTCTTACCGATGTCCCACCTCGGTAGCCGAGCCGGTACCAAAGGGTCGGGTAGTGGTATCCGATCCGACCACTTTCACGCTTTTCAGAACCTTTTCCAAACCATACAGTGCTATCTGCGGCAGCAAGCTTGGCGGAGCATGATTGTCCCTATGATTCGGGGAACATAATGTTCAGATTCATCGTCGACTTCCCCTGCAAAAAGGAGCAGGACAGTGCCCGGACCGAGCAAGGAAGGCTCAGCTCAGATTTCTTGGCTCTCGACATCTTTCCTGGAGAAGTCTTCTCCTCTTTTCAACCACGATGGCACATCACTGCACTCGCGTGGTCTCGGGAAACTCGCGAGCCTACACACAGCAGTGTGATGACCCAGTTAAAGGATGATACCAAGAGCTGAGCAGAGCACGCGAGGTATGCAAACATGATCCATCGGCCAACACTGATGTTCTTCTGTGCGTTCTTTAATCGAAGTCTCGAAGCAGCTTGGAGACCTCTACTTCCATTGCCCGATAGCTCAGACTACCACGTTGCGACAGCAGGCACGCCTCAAGACTTATCGATATATCTACTCTGGCAACAGTCCCTTGCCATAGATGGGAGCAATTCCATGGCTCAGATCTGCCAATAGTCTTTGGCATGCTCTAGGGATTTTGAGACCGGAGGTACGCCTTCTTCACTATTTGAATACGACACTGCTTCTGCTATGCAAGATTTGCTTCTAGCTTTAATGGTTGAGCCATCAATCTAGACTGGAGAAGAAAGGCTGACCGGGCATGGATAGCGTCCTCGGTCTTGACGTTGGCAGGGTTGGTGAGATCATCCAGAATGTCACGTTAGAACAGCTTGACGCAGGGTTTGAATGAGAGGCGAGACAAGGGGTGGTATGAGACATGCATCTCAGAAGGTCACTTTGGTCATTGCTTGGACACAAGCCTTGTTGACGTCAACAGACTTCTACAAAGCTTTGCATTCGTGCCCAATTCGATGCAGGCTGAACGCGACCACTTGTTCCCTACTTCGACTAAACATAACAAGTTACCATTACTATACTCGCGAACGCGATGAAGATCGTGACTCTCTGGCGCTGTCATAACGGCGAGACTGCAACGAGGTTCTTGGATTGCTACCATATGGGCATCCTCAAGCGGAGATCAAAAAGTATGATATTGTCGCTATAGGATCACCTGGCGCTCGACTCATTCACTCATGCTGACATTCATATGCGCAGAAATAAGCTTTCGCTAGCGCTGTGCGCTCACTTTCGTGCTGTCTACACCCGCTTCTTATACTTCAAAGTTCTTTACCGGTTCTTTCATCCCTCTAACTTCGACATACATTCGACGTTCAAATCTATACGTTTCGCTATATACAGTCATCATGAAGGTCGGCCGTTACATCCCTAGCGACGCTGAACGTGAACTCCAAGAGGAGAATAAGGACCTCCGCAAGCAAGTGGAGCAGCTCAAAGTAGAGCGCGACGAGCATAGAGATCTCTACTTGGAACACCTCGGTCGCTCCACGGAGTATACACTTTCATCAAAACATCCCGCGCACATCGAGTCGAAGAATTACTTGCGACCGACCAAGTTATCCGAGAGCCGTCGAGTCGATAAGCAAATAGCACCAAGCACAGCAACAAAAAAGTCGCTGGCTCGTCGAGTCAAAGATGAGTTTGAGACATGGTGCATGAATAAGGACGATACAAACGTCATCGACGGGAAGAACCTCTCAGACTCCTTGAGTGACCTCGAAGAAACCTTGCCTGAATCATATACAGAAGAAGCGGATCTAGGAAGCGGTCCGCGATGCGACCAGTCTGAATGCCTTTGTGGAGGCAGCGGCGATGGCTCGACGGCCACCGTTATGTGATTGCATAGTTTGCATCCACTTCAACATCCCATGTGCCGGAAACAAGCTGGATCCCAGCAACGATCTCTGCGATAGAACGAAGCTCGCTGCTTCAGAGTTGTACGACACTCCACACGGCCGGGCTTACGTACGATTCGACAAAGTACTCAAGCTACTGCATGCAGCACATCGACTCGCTCGAGATAGTACTTGGCATGCCTTTCATACTTACTGGCCGGAATTCCAAAGGAAGCACTTTCGATACGGTCCTTGGCAAGTTCGCTTCGGGTCGAGAGAAATGGCCGACAAACTCAACGGAGATTTTGGGATTTTCGCTCGCAATCGCCTGCCGAACGTCTACAACAACGTCTGCGACATGCCTCCCGATGTGGTAAACAGGGCGATCTTGAGCATGGTGGGTATGAGGAACTTGCTTGCCCATCCGTTCCAAGTCTCTCTAGAGGAAGCCGATAGCTTCCTCCAAACAGCCCAAGAATTGACTTGCGTGCTTCACGATGAGCACCGCGCAAAGCAAATCCGCCGCCTACGCGATGACCTTCAAGAACTCGTCAACAAAGCTCTAAAGGAGATCGTCGACTATGAGCCACTCTCACACTTGCCAGGCGCGAGGCACTGGGCACTACATCACCAGTTTCTCTTCGAGGAAGTCATTACGTACATTCGAGCGCACAATCAGAGTGCTGACGGCCGCACCCCGCCAGAAAAGTATTATCACCCAGCTGTCGTCGGCGCAGCAATCACTTGGATCTCACGCTTTCAGACTTCAGGAGCAAATCTTCGCCACTCCGTTGCAATGCCTTTGGCTTTTGGTTTGCCGCCTGAACCGCCGCTGGGTCCGGGGCAGGCAAGCGAGGAGGTCATTAAGGGTGTCCAGGGAATTGGCAAGGATGAAAAGCGCGAAGCAGAAAGAGAGGCTGAGTGTCACACCGTGCAATGAGCACTGTTATTCAGTGTTGGTTGGATCGCCAAGCAGGAGTGAGACACTCTCACTAGCATCGTGTATGTCCCCTGCCGACGAAGCTGAGGCCGGCTGGGTAGACTGCGAGATATATGAGAAGAAAGAAGCTGGATGGGTCGCTAACCAGTAGAAGTAATGCGGTGTCTCAGAGCCCAGGCAATTGGCGAATGTGCGTAGGATAGTTCACGCTCGACTTATACTATCGTAGGAGCTAGTCGCGTTCATAGAAAAAGGACTGCTTTCGCGTATGGATTTCTTCCTTGCCGTTGATAACGGGAACTTTGTAACCCTAACCCTAAGAACTCATTTCCAGCCTGAACTATCCACTTTCAGCCACTTGCGACAACTCCTTCGTTTTTGCACCCACACTCACAACCACATCACAACAACATGGCCGACACACCCAACTCTGGCAGCTCAACGCCAAACTCACGCTTCACGACCCAAGCCGTCAGCGCCGAAGACAAGCTAAAAGCAGATACCGTCGGCTTGCAAACACTCGATGCATTTCGAAAGCGACGCGCCGAAGCCTTCGAAAGCGGCGCACCGACGCCAGATGGACGGTAAGAACAAACAGGATATATGAAAGGGAGAGCGGGATACTGACGGCCCAAGTGCAGTGAATCCACGCCAAAAGCAGAATTCAAGAAGAGGAAGAAAGGCGGGTTGAAGAAAGGCGGATTATCATTCGGAGGGGATGATGAAGATGATGAAGATACCAACGCGTCTGCTCCTGCGACAGAATCTGAAGACGCCGCTTCGCCTGCGCCGTTCAAGAAGAAATCTCTACGTCCGAATTCTTCGGTCGGATTGCAACCTAGAGCTATGACGAAGTCTGCGATGCTGAAAGAAGCTCAACTCAAAGACGCGTTACGGAAAGAGTACGTTCGGATCCAAGAAGCCGTGCGCGCGACGGAGTTTGTTTTACCTTTTGCATTCTACGATGGTAGGAACGTGCCTGGAGGAAAAGTGCGGTTGAAAAAAGGTGATAAGATTTGGCTGTTTCTCGAAAGAGCGCGGAAATTGGGTGCGGAGCTGGGGAGAGGGGATAGAGGGAGAAGGGATTGGGCACGGATCAGTGTCGATGATCTTATGATCGTGCGAGGAGATATAATCATTCCACACGTAAGTCATACATTCATGAGCTCTATGTCTATCCCCATACTGACTGCCTTTATTCACAGCATTACGATTTCCACTACTTCCTCCTCAACAAAACCCACGGCTACCACGGCCAACTCTTCGCCTTCTCCGCCGACCCTACCCCCGCAACGCCTGCCCATCTCTTACACAAATTTTCGGAGGAATCCACCCCTGTACCGGAAGACGAGCCTTCGCATCTCCAAACTGCGGCTCAGAGAAAACTGCAAGCGGCCCAACACTCCGGACCTCCTGATTCCGAGCTCGAAGGTTTCGGGGATGATCCCAACGACACGAAAGTCGTGGATCGGAGGTGGTATGAGAGGAGCAAACATATTTATCCCATGAGTAGTTGGCAGGAATTCGATGCGGAGAAGGAGGAGGAGTATAAGAAGGGGGTGAGGAAGGATGGGAATGGGAATGCGATGTTTTTCTCCTCGAGGTGAGAGACAGAGAGAGCGTCGTGAAGGTCTCGGGGCGGGGATGCAGCTCGGGTATCTTGTGTAGATGCTGAATCCAGTCCTCCCATCCCCTGTCCTTCCCTTCCCCTTCTCACCCCGCAAACCACCACCACCACCACCACCCCACCATCACCCAAAGTATCAACGCCACCGGATTAAACAAAAACAACACCATCGGCGTCGGACTGAAAAGCGCCATCACAACGTTCTGCGCACACCTTCCCACCCAAACTTCAAATTTCTTACTCCTTGTATTAAGTTTTTGCGCAAAATCTTCGAGTGTGAAATTGTATTCGTTGGGTGTGTACCAGCCGGGACTGTAACTTGATTTTCGGGAGTGTGGGCGCGAGGGACTGGACATGGCTGGGAATGGTGGGGTGGAGGAGAATTGAGGTCGTGGTCGTGGTGACGAGTGGTGGATTGTGGTGGTTGTTATACTGCTTCGTTGTTTTTCCGGGAGGGAATGGATGTAAGAGGCAGTCTTGCCGTTGAGGACGAGGGAGATGGTGTTCATGGTGTGCGTGGTGGAGCGGCCGCTTTCTGTTTCTGTGTGTTTCGATTCGTGAAGACCACCACGCGATGATGGTATAGAATGATGATCGCGCTTTCGGTATTGCTAGCTTGGTGGGTCTTGCAAGGTCGGGGAGATCGAGATCGAGATTGAGGAGGAGAGGATGAAATGAAGGAGAAGAGATGGAGATGGTGTAGAAGTACTTACTTACATACCCATACAATGCATACTCGGCGAAATGAGGGAGTCAGTCAATGGCCATGACGAAAGAGCTGTCGCGCAGACTGGCGGTTGATGGATGTCGTGGTGTGGTGACCACAACGATCGCATCGTGGGGTCGATTTCCGGTTCCGATTGGTCTGCGTGGCTTCCGTTTCTGGTTGTCTGTGTCCAATCACGCTTTCTTGTGAAAGCATGGGCGCGAGATATCGGCCCTGAGGCATGTCGATGGCCTTGGAGATCTTGGGTTTTGGGGTCATATGCCATTGATCTGACTGCAGTCTATCCGGGGGTGATGTGCAGATGACTTGGTGGGATCTGCTGTCGTGCTGTGAGGGGAGAAGTGCTGGGGCAAGTTCAGGAAGAGGCGAACATGCTGATGAAGTCTCGGGTGGATGAGGAGGTGATGTGTGCTGTCGTCGCTGCTGGGGAGTTCCGTTGGTGAGAAAGTTACAGTTTGATTACAGCGCATTTCATTGGCCCGGTTGGAGCCGCCGCTAGCTGATGTCTCTCTCGCTCGCTTGGGAAGTTCCTTCTCCATTTCCATCCCTGTTTGTCCTGTTTGTGATTTGTGAACTCTCGAACAGCTTGCAGACGTCTCGAAATGGCCGAGAGCACCAACACTCTGGCTTTCGGAGGCACTGGCGCAGTCTCGGGGCGTGTCACCTCGCACTTGGAGCGCCTCCCGGTCGAGCTGTTCGACCACATCCTCTCTCACATTGCCTGGGCAAATGATGACGGCGAGAAACTGAAATGGTGGGATCGCGTCTGGACACTGAGCAAAGTGTCCAGAACCTCGAAACGACTGCGCCAGGCTACTGAGCCTGCTCTGTACGCTGACTTCCCGATCCCGCTTCCTAAGAAGGCGCTCAAGAAGCTGCTCTGGACGGTGACCACAAGACCAAGTCTGGGAAGACATATTAGGTCACTTTTGATGGAGTTCGACGAAGAATGTGCAAGGAAATCGCCGACGCCCGAGCAAATGGCATCATTCGGACCTGCGCTGGACGTGTTCAAAACTTCGAGCTGGTATTGGAGCCTGTTGCAGGCTTTGGCTAAAGGCTGTCACAATGCACAGCTGATGCTCTTGCTGAGTCTCGCGACGGAGATGCAGACGCTTACTTATACCTATTGCCACGAACGTATCAGCTGGTATGAGTCCTGTCAGCGTTGTCCTTCTTCCGGTTTATTCTTGGAAGATATCTTGTCCGCCACTCGACTGTCCGTGCTTCCCGAGAATGCCTTTGGAAACTTACGTACAGTCACTCTTCAAGCAGGCCACTGGGCGTCGGAAATCTCGTCCGAGGCACTATGTCTCTTTTCGAATTTGCCATCGCTCAGCGAGCTGACGTGCTGTGGCCTTGCCGTACGATATCAAGGGGCGAACATCACACAGCAGAAGCAGCTGTCGAATCTTCAAAGCCTAGTTCTACAGCGTACCAGTATTGCCAATGCTTCTTTGGTGACGCTGATGGGCTGTTGTCGGTCTTTGAAGCGACTGGACGTTGATACGGCGGACTTTTCAATATCCGACAACACTCAGCTCCAAATCGTTGATTTTGGCAGCCCAGAGCTGGCACGTGCTTTGGAGCGCCACATTAACACACTCGAATACTGTGCTTTAACCAATGGTGTAAGTGCAGCACGTGTACAGAGGCTTATCAAGCCGGAAATGGTCTCACAGATATCCATTCTGAAGTCCTGTTTGGTCCTGCGCGACCTGACTGTCGACGATGATCATATTCTAGGCGTTTGCGAGAACGAAAGTGATACTTCCGCAGATCGGATGCGGCTGTGGGAAGCGATCGACTTGAACAGCATACTTCCACCAACACTTTCAAAGTTACTTGTTCACTCGCAGTCGCACTTCAGCTTGTTGAAGGGCATATTGATAGGGATGAGCAAGTATAACGGCAACGACTTGAGATGCCTTGAAGTCACTTTCCGATGTGGGCCCGGCAGCTACAACATGGAATATAAACGCTCCGTGGAGTCGTACAGACCATACAAAGACGGAACTCAGCCTTGGCTACTAGATATGGTAACCCGAGACGTATCTGGTCACCGCCTCAGACAATGCATTCGCTTTCGTATTGTGGGGCCTTCCATTGCAAGTCGCCTGCATGCATTGGTGCAAACTATGCCCAACGAAGGACTGGTTCCACCACAGACAGTGGAACCTGAATCCGATTCTGATTCTGATTCTGATTCTGGATTTGATGATGGGGCCGACGACGATGATTCGAACGAAAATGAATGGACCGATGAAGCGGAGGGGTTCAGCGAAGAAGATGATAGCGAAGACGACGTTGAGTCGAATGACGAGGTGTCAGACAGCGAGACATCAGACAATTCTGAGATCAGTACTGATGGAGAGGACACCGATGACTGATCGCCTCGACCTTTTGGCCAAGCAATATTGGTGTATGCCATCGCAAGGCATTTCGGTTCTCTTCTAAGATACCTACCAGACCTCTAAAGCTGTAGAGTCTTTCAGCGACTCGACTTTAAGAAGTCAAGAAGAGCCAGACGCCATGAGCGGATTTCACCTTCGGACTTGGTCGCCCTCGTTGCTACGCATAGCTAGACTAGCCGAACGAGCATTTCTTTTTTCGTGGCATACAGGACCATACGAGAAAACATTCCAGATGATGGTAACCCATTTCGACTTTTGGCGGAAGGCTAGTGGTCGAGAAGCAAGGTGGTCTCTCCAGCTTTCGGGACACGCGGAAACGAAGACACGCAGCGCATCATCGGGGGTGTGCAGCAGCAACGGAAGACCGGACAGAGTCTGACTGCCTTTCTTACGGGGCCCAGGTTACGAAAAAAGGACAAAACCAAGAAACAAGAGCATATTTTGGGTACAGGTGAGGAACACCGACTAAAAGTCTTCCTGGGTATCACATATGATGGATTCAAGCAAGGTCCAAGATTGGCCATTGGAGGTAGAAGCAGCGACCTGCAATACTAAGGACCTGAGCAAGATCGTCTGAATTGGCGCGACACTATAGCTATTGGAGGCAGCTGGCACAAGACTGGTCAATATGCAGACCTGACTTGGGCAATTCATTCACTCGAAAGGCTCATGACAGTCCACTACTCCACTGGCCAGCCAAGTTTGGTAAGTATATTACGCTTGTGCCAAGACAAAGTGCCTTTGTGATATGCGAGCCCAAACACCATTCCGCTTCATCTCCTTGAGAGGCTAAGTCATGACGAGAATCTAGCTGCAGCTCAAGAACACACGGATCAAGGCGACAACAGCAACATGAGCCGTGTGACTGCGAACATTATAGAGCACCAAAATTTTAAGGCCGAACCAGGTACGAAAGTTCATCCGGAAGTGGAAATCTGTCACACGTCACGACCACCGGCTAGGTTTTACGTACGTCGTGGCGCATGTGACTGGAGTAAGAAGACCCGAGGCCATGCCTCGGAGCAAGAACATATGCCAGTAAGATGATGAATATGATGCAAACAAGATGGAGACTTGAGATTCAGGATGCAGAACGGGACCTACATGCCGCGTCACTCTACGTCGAACACATTCTTAAGTTCAGAGATCGAAAGTCGTGACCTCGAACATGCACCTATGTCGGAAGGGAAGACTCCGTTCCCATTTACAACGAGGCTAGAGATCAAGCGTTTTCTTGAAATGTTTTGGTTGCTATGAACAACACGTGTGAGGGTATATGAAACGGGCCCCGTCGAATACAGATCATTAATACCTCGCCGTCGTCCTTAACGAATCACATATTCCTAGGATACGAGCAAAGTACCAAGACTTGGTAGGCAACCATCAAGAGACGTCGTTTACTGCTGCATGTCCTGGGTCATAGCACCGAGAGTCAACTCGTTGCTCCCACCTCATCTATCCGTAAACATCGACAGCAAGAAGAAGAACACTGTGAGACTGAGCAAGAGTGTAAGTGAAATATTTATCGCTCTTCGCAAAGAAGCATCACCGCCACTATTATTAGTTACATGTATCTCATCCTTATCGATCAACTGATTCAACGTCCTTCCCCCTAGCTATTACGCCCCTTCAACAATCTCTGTTAATAAAGATCAAGAACACCATCGTCGCTCTCGAAGTCGGCTCTGGCCCGATCCCCATAGACGTAAGTATCTACACCTAACATCCACTAGGACTCTCTCGTCGTCCGTGAAGCCGTTCCAGCCTCTCCGTCCTAAGACCAACTCACTCAATACTCGCCCGCCGCCCAACGCTTTCGTCTCCCAGCACGTCAACCGGGCTAGATCTTGGTGGCTATAGGATAAATGGCAAGGATCGATCTCGAACTTGGAATGAGATATTGTTGTTGAACTACTACTATCAGCTCCAGTAACAATTACTGGTACTCTTACCTCAAATGGTACGAGGAGGCAGAGCTTTGGCGCTGGTGAGAGAGATGATCAATTCGACCTGTCCAGACCGAGTGATGGATGATAATTGTTATAACAGAACGAGACACCCCACCCCAACCCAGACAACCTTTCCAATAAATCTTCGACACTGACGGACGAGAACATCCTCATCTCCAAAAATCCCCATGCCTCCCCCCCCCGGCCCATCTCCTCTGCCTATCCACCCCTTCACTCAAACCTCACCCTCTCCAAATGCCTAAAAAAATCCCTCCCCTGCTGCCTCGCCATCGACAACTCCAACTCCGTCGGCCGTCTCACACCCGCATGCCCCGCAAAAGTGCCCGCGCCCCAACTCGACCCGCCTCTCACCTCATCAAGATTCGTCTGTTGAGGAAACGTAGTTTTACTACCCAAAGGCTTATAAATCATGCCGTGGTGGGCGAAAGTAGACATCATAGCCAGAGCCTGGGAAAAATAAAACACGTTAATCAGAAGAAGCAAAAAAAAAGGGGATATGTTGGTAGGATGAACCGTACCGTACTCTCCTGTCCACCCCCGGCCCCACCCGTAGAAACAAACACTCCAACATACTTCTCAAAATACTTCCCATTCTGCCATTGCGAGCCAGTCGCATCCCACCACGTTTTCCACTGCGCGGGCATATTTCCGTAACGCGTCGGGATCCCGAAGAGGATTCCGTCGTAGGTTTCGAGAGTGGTAGGGGAAGGTAATTCTTTTACGGCAGGGTGTGGTGGTGCAGGAGACATTTTTTCCAAGATTTCTTGGGGGAGGGTTTCGGGGATGCGGTAGAGGTCTGCTGTGCCGCCGGCTTCTTCGATGCCTTGGGCTTCGGCCAAGGCGAGGTCTTGGATGTTGCCCCAGATTGAGTAGAAGACGATTGCGATTTTGGGAGCCATGGTTGTGAGTTGTAGTTGTGTCTAGCAAGGAAAGATTAGATATGAGGGCTTGGGAAATCTACGGGCGAGGATTAGGCAAGAGTTTTGTACTCTGTAGATCAAGGACATGGCTTTTTGTCATCTCGGGGATTCTTTTTTTCGTACGATTGCTGTCGACACATGGTGACGCTCACGCGATATCTGAGAGCTTGCTTGTCTGTGCTGACAACCTTCGCTATTTCGAGCTTCCGAAAAGCCGGCGTCACGTGTAGAGTACCTGGCCACTCTTTTACTAGCTAGTTCCTTCTCTTATAGCACACTCTCGGTCACCGCCTATACCTGATAGAATATGAAGGATCCCAAGCTATAGCAAAAGTGGCCAACGGAGTCCAGATTTCGCCGAGATCGCCGAAAAATCTTATGCAGAACGAAGGATTCGACGTTGCTCTCAACTCGGTCTTTATGGCTGCAACAGAATCGCCGAGCGTTTTTCCAGCATTGACCTGAAATGAGTACGCCTCGTAAACTCACGCATGGCAAGATGTTGTCCCGGATTACCAATCCATGCTTTCTGGCTGCTCAACGAAGTGGGTCGAAACGAAATAGCATCTTCCATTGTCACTTCGGATATTGATTTCGCTCCTGCTTAAGTCTGCATGATGCTTGATTATGCATCTTCATCTTCACTTGCAACTGCAGTCTGCTGCTGCTCGTCCGGACCATCGTGATTTTCGTCAGCTCCAGCGGCAGGTGTGTCATCGCTGTCATCAGCGTTCACAACCGGGATAGGTGGAGGTGGTGGCAGGTCGATGTTCCAGAATGGATCTCCGAACCCATGGCAGTGATAGCATGAGTCGCTTTCGCACTTCCACTTCTCGAAGAGAAACACCGATGACAGAATCTCGATCTCGGCCAAGGTGAATCCGCGAAAGTCACGCCGCTGTGCGATCAAGGTGACCGTTGCCGTAAGAAGATATTGCATTTCCTTCATGAGCAGGTTCTCCTTTAGATTGGACAAACTCTGCTTCTTCTTTTTCTTGTAGTGAGAATGTGCTAACCAGTCGACCCGGCATCGCGATTTGGCAGTCTTCGGTTCAGGGCCGCCAATGACGGTCACGCCCGCATCCCAGCGTTTGTGATGGCCGTAGACATGCCTATCCAGGTGTACGTTGAGCCTGATATTTCGGAGTTGTATCAGATGCTCGGCATAGCGGATCCATGACCACACCGCCCAGGGCATTTTGTCCAGCGGGAAGTCTGTGCACTTAGAGCATGGTTCGGACAAGAAGGGAAACGGATCATAGGCGAGAGGGTCCTGGGGTTGCTTTGGTTCGTTCTTCTGGAAGAAGGCCGGAGCAGTCCATGCACCAGATCTGAAGACGGTTTGCATTTCGCTGGCTTGCAAGTCGTTCACGGAATGGCGCAAAGATGACAATTTGAGCCTCGTGAAAGATTCCTCTGGACGTTCTTGAGAATTCATTTCCGGCAGTTTGCCGACACGATGCTCGAGTAGAGTGTTCTCCATGGCGCCAGGCTCTGGATACGGAGTGAAGGCATCATCTTCGTAGGTGAATGGAAAGTTCGGCAGCATGGTAAAAGTGAGCATTGGTACGGAGGGGTCAAAAAGGTCAAAAGCAAGCGGATCGTGCTTGCTGGGACACAGCTCGGCGGCTACATCGAAAGACCATGTTCTGGTGGCAAAAAAGATGGGGATGGCTTCATGGAACATTTGCCGACAGACCAGAGCAACAGCAGGCGGCTTGACTTTGACGAATTCGCAGACCTTCTCGCTTTCGGGCGTCAAGGCTAGCTCCCAGATGGCGCTGCGAAGCTCATGTGGTAGCCGGAGAAGAGGCGACTTTGCTGACTTTTGACGAGCATGTTCCAAATGCCTCGACCTGCATGTGGTCCTTCGGACTTGTCCTGCAGAGCGCGAGCGATAGAAGATGGTCTTTGTATTGGACCGCATGATGCGTCACGTGGCTGCTGTTGATGAGGAGTGAAGGAGTTCCGCGAGTAGAGAGGAGCAAACAGCAGGAGTATGTTCCTCAGGCACAACTTACGAAAGGTCTTGGCATCTCTCGCTCTCGGATTCTAAACCTATCTAGACCTCCACTTCCACTTCGAAGCAAACTCATCCACAGACACCAACATGATATGACGCGAATGGCACACGGCACGTCAGCGTCACCCATGCTGGACCCATCAAGCCCGTTCATGACTTGCCATTCCGAGGTTCGCGCCAGAACGCTGCGATGAAATGGCGGCACAGAATCTCGTCCAGAGCTCACAGAATCCGCCAGCACAGCCTGCGTATATCTTGAGAGGCCACTCGGCGCAAGTGCATGCTGTGAATTTTCTACGCGACAATACGCGGCTTCTGACTGGAGACGCAGATGGCTGGGTAGTGCTGTGGAGTACATCGACCAAACGAGCAACTGCCGTCTGGAAAGCACATTCGAATGCCATTCTCGGTCTGCGTGGTTGGGAACATGACAAAATCATCACGCATGGCCGTGACAATAAGCTCCGAGTATGGCAGCTGCGTGAAACGGACGAACCAAGTTTCTCCAAAATTCTGCCTATCGAGGACTCCAACTCCGACCGCAAGGATCCATGGTTGCTTCACACCTTGCAGGTGAATGCGCTGAATTTCTGCTCATTTGCCATGTGCCATGCCATGCCAGCCAGTGCGCATCTGCCTTCACACGGAATCTTCATTGGTACACCGGGCGTTGAAGATGGTCATATCAACGTCACATCTCTTCCAGACGAAGACCGACTCGCCACGATTCCGAACCCAAAGGATGAGAGCACAGGCATGGTTATGAGCATCGACCTAGCTTTCCACCCCGAGTCCAAGCAATTGTTGATTCTTGGTGGTTACGAATCTGGACATGCTTGCGTATGGAGTCAGCAAGATGGGAGAAGGCAGTGGCAGCTCACGTATATGCGAAAGGGGCATACTCAACCCGTCCTTTCTCTGGATATTGCCCTGGATCACAAGTGCTTCTTCACGTCTTCAGCCGATGCCATCATTGGTCGTCACCCTCTGAACGATGGAGACGAGAATCTTCCAGCCAAGACCGTCCAAACCAAGCACGCAGGACAACAAGGCCTTACAGTCCGCAATGACGGAAAGATTTTTGCCACGGCCGGATGGGATTCGCGCATCAGAGTCTACTCGGTACGAACTATGAAGGAGCTTGCGGTCTTGAAGTGGCACAAAGAGGGATGCTACGCGATATCTTTTGCAAAAGTCGCCAAGTCGGCTGCTGAATCCGCAACGCTTGGTATGCGTCAGAAGGACGACCAAGAAATCTCGGACATGACCATTGCACAGCAGCGTGAATACAATGCGAGGACGACGCACTGGCTAGCAGCCGGAAGCAAAGATGGGAAAGTATCACTGTGGGATATCTACTGAACATCATCGACGAATGGCCACCATGTCTCCCTCGACTCGTGCTACAGGGATGATATTGTCGACTTTAGCAAGTACTGTCGGAGATGCGGCTGAAAGTAAGGATGCGTAGATATCGAGTGTAATCTTGACGCTTGTGCTTTGGATGGGGAAGTACGTATGCCTGCCTCATACCACTCGAGCACGAGGACGAACAATTTCCATTCTGTCGAGCAACGTTCGAGGATATATGTCGAGTCAGCTCTGAACTCCACACTTCGCAGCATTCCCTCGCAGTGACTTTGTATCCCAGCATCCGAGCTCTTCAATCCTCTTCACGAAAGTCTTTGTCACCACTCGCCTCCATCTCCCGCCTTCTCCCCAAATCTTGCAACTCATACCACCAACTTCCCCATCATCCGCACACCAGTCATATATTCCCTCATCGCATTCGTCGCAGGTCTCGCAGTCCGTACAGCCGGCTTATACGCCACACTCCTATCCACTCATTAGAACTAGCCCAGCTCAAGCATCTCTGATGGTCAAGCCTTACATAGACCTCGCCTGAACCTTTGGCCCGACTCTGCGGATCAGAGCATCAATGCACTCTTTTCCAAGGAAGCAGTATTTGCACATGTTGATTGATCACAGCTATAGTGTGTGTTTGATAGGATGGGATGGGAGGTGCGCTTCGAAGATACTTAGAGTTTACGCACAGACAAGGTTCATCGGCTCATCGCCGCCGAGACCGAGCCAAGCTGTCCTGAACATTATTCAACTAGTAGACACAAAAAACCGATCACGAATCCCACGCTCTCTAATAATCACGAAACACACAACTGCCACCAACCCACACCAACCAATCCTCAGTACTAGCCGCATCTATCTCGCGCGAACCAAAAAAAAACATGATCTCCGACTCCTCCCTCTACTCCCTAGCCGTCTTCCTAGGCGCAGCAAGCATGTTGATGATCGTGCTCTACCACTTCCTGGAAATCAACAGCGACGAACATTCGGAGAATCAGAAAGTGATGATTGGGGCGGGTGGGGTGAAGGATAGTGTGAATGTTGCTGCGAGATGAGGGAAGGAAGGAAGATAAGAGAGAGAGGAATGGGATATTGGAATTGATGGGAGAGGGAAAGGGTGTGGGTGAGGGAGGGTTTGAGGAGGAGCATAGAGGGGGACTCAGAGGAAGAGGATAGAGGCGTCACGGCGCGATGAGATGGGGTTTGTTTTATGAGCAAAGTGGTTGGTGGAATGGGAAGAAAGAAGGCAAGGTGAGGAAGAGGATTGCCATAAGCATCAATCATCATTAGAAGCTCGAGTTGGAGCTGATCCGATATCAAAGGCAGCTATGTCGCAGCTCATCCCAATCATACTGACCGCCTTGTGGGCCAAAAGCACGCTGATGCCTTCCATCTCACATCTCCGGCTCAGTATCATCAATAATGTCCTCAAAATCCTCATCATCCAAGAATCCCTTTCTCCGCTTCTCATTCACGAGGCGGCTACTTTCCAGTCCCATCGAGAACCCTTCGTGCCGTTTTTGATCCTCGAGTTTTTTCAGCTCTGCAGCAGCTTCCTGTTCGGCCTTCGAAGACCCAATCGCGCTGCCCAAAGCAAAGCCATATTTCGGAGGCCGACCACGTGCACGCGGCATGCCAGTCGGCGACATGTCGCCTTCCTGCTTGGGCTGCACAGCTGCGTCCTGCTGCTGACGTTCTGCCAAAGGCACAATCACAGGCGTAACACTTCTTCCATATGCATCTGAAAGGTATGCTTCAGAATCTGTGTGCTGCTCTGCGACACCAGAGGCTGATTAGCATCAAGAACGTACGTCAATTTTTCTCGGTTTGATTGATTGCATGCATGCATAATTACTATACAATAAGAAATGCTCGAAGCAAGACAACAACGCAATTCAAAAGACAATTCGGGCTCATTCTTGCTCACCTGATACACTGCCTCCTCTCGGCCCGTCACCAAGTGTTTGGGCGATCTCTTCGAAATGTGCCTTGTTGACGTGCCTGAGCCAGTGCTCGATTGTCTCGAAGCTTGTGACGCCCTCATCACCTTGGCGTGATTTGCCGTTAGCGTCGACGTGAAGGCCTGCACTTCTGCAGTTCTTCCAAAGACATTCAAAGTCTCCTTCGTCGTTTGGTACACCGTGAAATTTGAGGGCGTGCTTCTTCAGCTTCTCGAGATTGTCGAGCTCGGCAGTGCAATCTCGCCACCTGCAGTGGTAGACTTGATAATGTGGCTCCACAAGATCATCCTTGGTAGCAGACTGTCTCAGACGCGAGCCAGACGGACCACGCTTGACTTCGTAAGCACCAGATTTCTTCGGTGTAAGGCCTTGAGCTTCGCGAGAATGGATGCTCTTGCGCCAGCCGACTGGTCGACCTTTCTTCTTGATCGGATTGCCGTTTCCGTCAAGCTGCCGGAATTGAGCGTAGCCAACTGCGCCTGACATGCTTGAAGGTGAGTCGACCGGGCGATTAGAAGCGTTAGATACGCGTCGACCCGGAGTTCCGCGATGTTGTCGAGGTGGTGAATTGTTGTCGGTGTCTGACGCGTCGCGAAGTTCAGATTTGCGAGGTCCGCGGCCGGGCCCGGAGCTTAACTTAGCGTCTTGGCTCTTTCGCTTCAGCTGCGCTTGCACCGACAAGTAATTGCCAGGCGCATCGCTGTCTTCGCGAGCTGTATCGCCTTCATGGTCGCTGAGAGGAAGGAGCTCTTTAGTGACGGGATCACGCTTCCTTCTGCGTCGCTTCGGCAGAGGCGCGAGAGGCTTCGCGCTTGGCTCACGTGCTTTGAAGTGAGACATGTCTCCTTCGCTCTCGTCGTCGGCCTCGTCGCCTTCTTTGATATCGGCGCCCCTGCTCGATGGTCTCTTCGCTCTAGCCTTGGCTTCGGCAGATGGTTCGCCTGGGTCAATAATGTCCCATCTGATTGTTGCAAGGTCGCTCTTGTTTCCGGAGCCGTCAATGACACCACCGTGGTCGCCAAGCAGCTTTTGCATGCCATTGAGATGGTTATTGAGAGGCCGCATGTCAGGGTGACGTCCAGTCGCAAGTAGTACATCTCGAGCAATCGTCCTGCTATCGTACTTTGACTTACGTGCCACACGATCTCGCATGATTGGCTCGACCAACATCTTGCCTCGCATACGCTCATGCTGCTTTTGCTCTTCGGTAGGGCCTTTTGGTCTAGCCTGAGGCGGAGCAGGAGATTGTGGCTTAGTCTGTTGCCCCCAAGATGTGGTCGGTGTTTGCCAGCTCGGCCTGAAGGGAGCTGATGCATGTATGCCGCCCTGCCCGGGAAAGAGATTCTGACGAGGTTGCTGCATGTTCTGTTGCATGAATTGCTGAAATGGCATCGGCTTGTTTGTGAATTGGTTTGATGGCACAATGGGCGTGACACTGTTCGGTGGACCAGATGATGGAATGAACACCTTTCTCGGCGGCGCTTCATCATCGTCAGAATCTTGTGCAGTGAGGTCGACCAAGTCGGCAAAGCCACGTTTTCGAGCGGCTTCTTCCTTGTCCTTGGGCGGCGGTAGTGGCTCTTGAGGCTTCTCTTCCGGCTTGATCTCAGGTTGTGCCGAGCCTGTTGCGTCGTCGTCATCCATGACTGGGACTGTATCAAAGAAAGAAGTATCTTGAGCCATCGCGGGCTGCACGGGTCCGCTCATTGTCGTTTGAAGTGATGCTGAGACCTTTGATGGGTAAGTTGGAGTCGCATGCATAGCATTGACCTCCCTGGCGGCATCAGCGAGCGATGTGAATGAAGGCGTCGAGTACGACACTGTGCCTGAACTTCTGCCGCTTTTCGGAACAGAGTACGTCGTTGGGCCGTCCTTCTTCGGTCTTCCTCGCTTCTTGCCAGGTGTGTCTGCTGGCGAAGACGCCGCTGCGCCGTCAACTTGTGCTGCGACATTATTGTTCGCAGGGGTGCCACTCTTGCCCGGCTGATTGCGCAAACCATCTGGAACAGCTTTGAGAAGTTCCTTAGCCAGCAAAGATCGCTCGAATCTGACACCAGTTTTCTCCACTGCTTCGCATAGTTGAACGTACGACGGATTAGTGTCGAGAATTTTGAGGACATTCTCCTTGCTGATGGTGAGACCATTGGTCTTGTTGTATGCCAGATTGCCGAGCCACGTTGAAGCAGCTTCAGCCAGACTGCCTTTCTTGTGCGGTGGCCAAAGGGAGTTGCCTTGTTGCACAGTGGGCGAGGCTTGCGCCGGCGCTTTTGAAGACGAGGCTGTTGGTTGCTGCGCTTGCTGCGCTTGTTGCGCTTGTTGCGCTTGTTGCGCTTGTTGCGCGACTGCTTGGCCAACGGTGGGAGTAGACGCTGATGCTGATGCTGCAGCGGTGTCCTGATTCCTCTGCATGGGAGGAGCTGTAACAGCCGGCTGTGCAGGTGGCTGCGCATTCTCTTGCGCCGTGGCATGCTGCTTGCGCTCTTCCTCCCAAAGCTTCGCAAGCATAGCAGGGTTCTTCTGGTTGAACTCGCGCATCTTCTTGAACATTGCACGCATCTCGGCCTCTTCATTGTTCGCAGGGGGACCATCTCCACCCATCATGGCTGCCATCAAGCCTCCAGCAGAGGAAGATGCAGCCATTTGCTGCAGCGCAGTCGCGGCAGTTTTGCTTTGTTTCTTCTCCTCCCGCGCCTTCTTCCTTGCCTCATTCTTCTTGGCTTGTGCGGCCTTCTTCTTCTCTTCTGCCTCCTTTGCTTTTCGTTCGCCTTCCTCACGATCTCGTTGCTCGGTTGCGACGCGCTCTTCTTCCGCTTTGCGCGCCTCTTCTTCGGCCCTTCTCGCGTCCTCTTCGGCCTTTTTCACAGCTGCCTCGGCTTCCATCTTCCTGCGTCTCTCTGCCTCAATGCGAGCTTTCTTCTCCTGCTCAGCGCGCCAATCGTATACCTGAGATGGATCTACAGTTGTAGGTGATGGTTCAACTGATGCGCTCGGTTGCCGCTGCGTCTGGCTCAAATGTGAGGCGGATTGGGAAGTGATCTGGGGCGAAGGTGCGTGATTTGAAGTTCGAGAGGACTGCTTGTGATGGCCTTGTTGCTGGGCTTGCACTGCATGCAGCGGGCTGTTGTAACGTTGTGGCTGACTTTGCTGCTGAGTCTGTTGCGGCTGGTGAGCGTTCTTGTAGCCAGCACTGGAAGGCGCGTTTCGGTAAGTCTTGGCACTCGCACTTGAGCTTGTTGACGGGTAGGTCTGAGTATTGGCGAAGGTGTTGGAGCTACTTTGTGACTGATCAGGCAAACCCAGCCTACCGAAAGTTGAGCTTCCTGCGGCCTGGGTGGCGTAGAGAGGTGAATTATTGGCCTGACTTCGGTTCGTTAAGGAGTTGTAGGCATTTGAGGAGTAGGTCTGACCACCATAAATGCTGTTGTCGTATTGGGAAGTAATGTTGCTGTTGCTTGATGGGTTGCCAGCAGATGAAGGCTGCGCATATTCTTGGTTGCTCAGCGAAGTGAGCGTGGAAGCTGCGTTGCTCGTAGTGGCAGCTGCCTGCTGCTGCGCGTTCGGGGCATACTGCTGGCCGCCATACGTAGTGCCATAACTCTGGTTGTAACCTGCCTGATAAGTGGAATTTGTGCTTCCATACTGCGCGTTGTTCGAGCTCTGGTTCGTTGTGTTCGCGTAGGTATAGCCCTGCGGCTGAGCCTGATTTGACTGACTTCCCACGGGATCATAGTAGTTGTTGTAATTGTAAGGCGCCATTGCGACGGCCTTTGTTGGGGGTTTTCAGTGCGCGATGGGCGTGTCGTCTGAGTCGTCGCTCGTCGCTCGTCGCTCGCTTGGTGGCTGGGGACGTGGAAGTGTCGGGGTCGATGCTTGTAGCTAGGTATCTCACACGCTCCGCACTGCACTGCACCTTCCCGTATCGTATCGATGTCCTCTACTCTCCGATAGCTCCTTCACGTGTCAAGATCGCTACAACGCGCGTCCAAATGACCTGTGCCACCCATGCGCCGGCCGCTCTGAACGTGAAGCCCGCGAAAGCGCCATCTGAAGCGGCAAGCTCCCGACTAGCGCCGCCTTGGCAACGCCAAGCCCACGAACGCCGACACCGTTTCCTCGAATTCGACTTCGCAAAAAGTTCCATCCTGCGTCGACGACCAGACTAACACCACAGGGGCAGCACAACATCTCGTCAAAATGACCAAGATCAACACCAACCTGTCCTCCAGCCGGAGAAAGAGCCGCAAGGCTCACTTCTCCGCGCCATCCAGCGTGCGACGTGTGATCATGTCCGCACCGCTCTCAAAAGGTGAGAAAGCACCTGTCTGAGACAGCATATCTCCAGTCTACATCCCGCGCAAGCGAGGAAGGAGCATTGCTGACCAGACATGCAAATATAGAACTCCGCGAGAAGCACAACGTCCGCGCCATCCCAATCCGCAAGGACGACGAGGTCATCATCAAGCGCGGCAGCCACAAGGGCCGTGAGGGCAAGGTCACTTCCGTCTACCGCCTCAAATATGTCATCCACATTGAGCGCGTCGCCCGCGAGAAGTCCAACGGACAGTCTGTTCCACTCGGTATCGCTCCATCCAAGGTCGAGATCACCAAGCTCAAGCTCGACAAGGACCGGGAGAAGATCATTGAGCGCATCGCCAACGGTCGTGAGGCCAACGAGAAGAAGCGCAAGGCTACTGCTTAAATGTGTCGACATGCAAAGCTACGAGCATGCGTCATGTATGGAAAGGATTGAAGGAGCTTCGGGCTTCGATGATACCAGATGGTAAAAAGCATTGAGCGACATCGCCAGCTTTTCTGGGCGTTTTGTATGAGGAATGGAAGCAGCAAAGACTGCATTGCGGCATCATCCAGCGTCGCATGTCTCGAACGAGAACGCTTCGAATTCACAAACATCGTACCCGTTCTCATCATCTCACATATTCGTCGTTCTAGTTTGTCGTCGTGGTCCCCGCTAGTATATCTACTCGACAGCCCATCTCCTTTGGCAGCTCGCAGTTAAACAACTAGCGCAGAATGAACACCATGGCAAAGCCGTGACCGACCTGCAGAGCACTTCTCGAATTTCACGTGTGAGTAAGCGCTTTGATGGTGGGAGACATGCCTCAATTGACGATGAACATGTGCAGGTAAAGAGAGCTACTTTGATCCTCTTCTTATCGTCGAAATGACTATGATCCTTGATATCCGAGTCACCCGGACTCTTCAAGCGTCTGAACTCAAAGTGGGTTTGTGTTAGATACATGCATGGCGAGAAAGACCGCTGTTGAAAAGCGCAAGCGTGACCATCCACCTCTTCCGAGCCAGTCCCAAAAGTGCGGCGCCTCCAGTCCTTCTCTCATTCGAACGAACCCCTTTGCTCGTCTAGTTGATTCGTTCTCGTATTCGCCCTTCGCATGAGTTCCGCTATGTGGCCCATCGTCGCCGTGCCTATTTGGCTAAAGCTCCCCGTAGACCGCGCTCCTGTTCTGCACAGGCCAGTCATGATCTATCGCTCGAGCGGCCCGAGGACTTACTCAATCGTACAGCCTAGAGGTGCAACACAACCGTCTCCTTCGGGTTCGCTGTCCAGATCTCTTGGGCAATTGTGTGGTACCTGTGGCCTAGCATAGAGTACCTGTGGCCTAGCAAGTCGATGGCCTTCGAAGATGGAAGTAAAAGATTGGTCTTGATGACTCCAGCAGCGATGCCTCTCCTGCCAGCTTGACATTCCTCGAGCGTGCGCTCACCGCTCGCGGCCATCTTCTTCCAAATTTGGTCCATCCACTTGGAGCCGATGTCGAGGTTGTACTCAGGCGTCATGAATCTCGACATATTATGAATTTCGACATTACTCAGCAACTCGCGGCGACGACGACAGATGTTCGACGACCAAGTCACGAACCTCTTGCTCGTTGCGTGTGGAAAGCGGAAAGTTGAGTTGCACCAATACAACTTGATCGCCTCTGCGTAGACTTGCTTGCAAGATAGCATGAGCGGCGGCGCAGCTGGCAATCCCTCCTTGTGGATGTCATTTGGGCGAACACCGATGTTTACCGTGACCGTATCATCGAGCGCAAGCCCATAAATGCGGTGACGGAGTTCCGGCGGCAGCTTCTGCATCAATGGCGAGTCCTCCTGCAGGGAGGCGTTGCCGAGGTCGACTCTTGTAAAGTCAGCGAGGTTCCACATGACGGCGACGGCGGCGCTCTTCGCGCGGAGCGGACGGTGGGTTGGGTTGTGTTTGATGCTCGCCAAATCGATTGTCGAGGTTGATGTTTTTTTCCAGGATTCGAAGAAAGGTTGAAACGCATCACTTCTACAAGCGCGACCCTCGAAGTGAAGTTTGACCGGAACCTTCTCTGAGCCAACTTCACTCGATGCAGCTTGTGATTGCGACACGGCCGCAGCTACGGATCTTGCAAGCCATGGTGCTTTACAGCTAAACGCGGGTACCAGTGCGAATAAGAAACACTCGTTTAGCATGATGGCAAGATCTGGTGTTTCACTTCGTCTTGAAGCCAAATGCGCATCCAACTTCGGACGACAAGAATACTTGCACCATCACCCTTCCTTGAAAGAGATAATTTTCATCTGCGCCAAGGGTCCAGAACCCAATTAACAGCTGCGATCGTCCATCTGCGACTTTCCCGCCTTCCCTATTCCAATATGGCTCAGGTCCGTATTATGCAAATCTCTAGCGACTGGCGAAGCAGTCCAGAGATAGACCTTCGCTCTAGCAGACGAAGACCCCATCCCATCACCCAAGCCTTCAAATACGGCCTCCTCATCTCCTCCGGCTCAGCAGCGGTCCAAACCGACACCTCGACATCAACAGAATATTCATTCTTCGGCCAACACTTCCGCAGCAACATCAAATTCACCTCTATCACATCTCAAGTCAACCCTCTCCTCTTCCCAACTCCTCCAATACTTCTCTCTCCAAGTCCGCGCTATACCCAAGCCCCTGTGGAGACTTGATTATAATTCTGAAATGATCTCTGAAGATAGATCTTGTGCGAAGCCTCCGAACCAGAGATTGAAAGATTCGAGTTTTTTTTTCGATTCTGAGAATTGGAAGATACTGAATATCTAGTTGCAGAACACCTTCCAAAACTACACCGCCCAATGACGTCCGAAGATGGCTCCCACTGTCCGTCATCGAGGGCGCAGGTCATCTAAAGGCACGCTGGGGTGCTTAAGCTCTCGCTCACGGCGATCGTGGAACACTTCTGGAAGACATCGGTAAAGGCTCTCTGCTCTCGGGTCACCATGTCCTTCTGTCGCCTGAGCCACTTTCCATACGGCCTTGAGCGGTCTCGTCGGGATACGCAGTCCAGAAGATGTTCACAGGTTCTCCGTACATGGGTGTGTTCCGTACCGGGTCCTGTCTACGAATACAAGCCGGACTTTGATCACACCTGGAGCCACATCCCTTCTTCCAGCTTGACATTGTTCGAGCAGCTTCTTAGCATCATCCAGCTGGTCTAACAAGCCGAAGATTGTCCTGGAGCCCGCAGCGCTCGTTTGAACAGCCGGCAGAACGAATTTGTCTGTACCGACTCTGACATTCTTGAGTAGCTTGCGTCGGCGCCGTCCGATCCGGGTGAACCAGCATTCCGGCTTGGGTATGGAGACGCAGAAGCTGGAGTTGCTCCAGTGCAGCTTGATCGCCTCGTAGTAGGCTTGTTTGCAGCTCAACAAAATGCCTGGCGGAGTAGGCCTGGCGAACCTGTTGCTGCGGATGAAGACCGGGGCCGACTCCAAGACGAGATCCCAGATCTGGTTGCGGATCTCAGCTGGAAGTTTGCCCATCAGATCGGAAGCGATCTGCGGATTGGAATTGTCGAGATTGACTTTGGTGAAATCGCGCACCATCTTAACGATGGCTCCGAAGATGCTTATGCTGGTCGAAAGGCTGTTGGGTGTGTATGCAAGTGGAAGCAGCTAACTTAGCGGGTATCTTTACTCGCCACAACTGGGGGCATGTAGCATTAGTTTATTACTAGGTCACTCGATCCAGGGACTTCGTTCGCTTTGTGCTTGGTTCCCTTCCAGCTTGAGCTTGAGGTGGTGTCTAGAGTCTCAAGTTGATATCGTTCTGGCCGAGAAAGGTGACAAAATAGAATAAGGTTTTGCTCTTAGTCAGCACCCGCTTGCAGACGACCACTTCGCATCAGAGTCGCGTGCCATCCCTTTGACTACCTTACAATAACTGTAACACTTTTTCGCGAGCGTGGAGTCTGGCGCATTTGGATGATTTTATTCTACGGTCGCTTCAGCATCACTCACAAGACTGTCTACAACACCATCCTCTCCTCGCGACTCTTTGGGCACGACAATCTCCAAAAACTCACTAATCATGGCCCTTCCTGGACTTTCGCTACCTGGTCTCGGCCCCAGCGCAAGTCCTGCAACGCCTCTCACTGCCGGTGTGCCAACCTCACAAGCGGCAGCTCCACGTGTAGAGACTCTATCACCGCAGTCAGAATGGAGATTCGAGTGCTCCTTCTCACAGCGGTACAGCATCAAACTCGAGAGCGGGCATGCCGAGATGTTTGGCGTTGAGCTTGCTCTCAAGCAGACATATACTTTCACAGGCTGCAAAGGGGCCATCTTCACGTGGCAAGGCTGCCAACTGGAAATATCTGGCAACGCTGAGAGCGAGTATGCTGGACAGGAGACAGACTACGCGGTCGAGTGGCTCAATGTGCATGGTTTGCTGGAAGGCATGAGGGTTCCAGGCCGATCAGACGGACCGAGAGTACTTGTAGTGGGTCCGGACTTCGTGGGAAAAAGCAGCATTGTCCAGAGCTTGGCAGCATGGGCAGTGCGAAGCGCAAAAGGTCCAACTGTCGTGAACCTAGACCCACGTGAAGGTCTACTTGCGCCGCCGAGTAGCTTGACTGCAGTCACACTTGACGCGGCCATGGATGTCGAGAATGGCTATGGTATCGGTCCTATGTCAGGCCCGACGGTATCGCCAATGCGCACACCTTTGATCTACCACTTCCCATATGCATCCCCAACTGAGAAACCCGAAATCTACAAGTCTGTCATCACGCGGATGGCACTTAGCGTTACAAATCGACTCGAAGAGAACGCGACCACCAAAAGCAGTGGCATCATCATTGATACGCCAGGTGCGCTCAATGACCCGAAGTCCAACTACGAGCTCATTGCGCACATCATATCAGAATTCAGCATAAATGTTGTCCTAATCATGGGCTCTGAACGACTAGCCAGCGACATGGCCCGACGTTTCGGAGGTAATAAGTTACCAGATGAGGCCGTCCAAGTCCTCCGCATCACAAAACCTGGAGGTGCCGTGGAGAGAGACAACGCATTTATGAAGCAGTTACGAGCACAGCAGATACGCCAATACTTCTTTGGATCCTCCAAGGAGTCGCTCAATCCGCGTTCACACTATGTTCCTTTTACAGAAGTTGACATCTTCCGGGCCAAGTCTGCGCATATTGCTGCTGCTGAGGACGACTCATTTGGGCCAGGTGCTGACGACGATGACTACGATGTCCCATATGCGAGCAAGCCGGCCAAGACAGTCGTATATGAAAAGACCAGCCCCATAGCCGCAATGGCAGGAAGCGTGGTTGCCATCAAGTTCTGCCCAGGAGGCAGCGATCAGCAGACGATCAGGGACAGTGCGGTCATGGGCTTCCTATATGTGGCGGAGGTCGACGAGACGAAAAAGCGGTATCGATTCTTGGCACCACATCCACAGCGATGGGGCGACCGCGCTTTGGTATGGGGCCACGGCTTTCCTGAGGCTGTTGGGGACATTGTGACGTGAGTGGAAGGCGGACAGTTGGTACAGGACAAGGAGACCATGCCTAAGGTGTCAATATCGCGATACCTCAACCAGGATGATCCGAGCGAGTATCGCATTAATCAAAGATGCGATTGCATTAAAGGTCGACCTCGCTTAACTGGCGGACTGAAGAGGTAACTAGTTGTGATGCTGTTATCTCGGGACAGGCACTCTCGGAACCATCGTGGCCATCTAGGATGTCAAATCACTTGAAGAGTGTGTGTGTAGGCTATTACGTGCATGATGCCTGAGGCTGCAACTGTGCACACTTCATCTTTGGGCTTTCTGTAGATTAGCCCTCTTCTGAATACATCACAGTTTATATCAAGTAGTTATGAGCCCCCTGCGTTTCCAACGCGTACAACACGTTTACTACGTATTCTAATAGTTACTCCGACTGCTACGTAGACAGCGCTTGTTACTACTAAAAATTGCGCCGATACTATTATCGTCGCCGCCGCCGCCCTCGAGTGTTCTAGCAGGTGCTAGTCCGACTCGAGTCGGTCACTATTAGTGTTAGCTGTCCGCTACACCAATTCCTAATATTAGTATTAGCTATCCGCTATACTAGAACATAGGCGCGCCTATCGGCGGCCTCTTAAGATAAGTCTATAGTCTCTTTCTATATCGCCGTTACTATCTATAATAGCTCCCTCTATAACTACTAACGCTTATATAAGCAATATTCCTAAGTTGAAGAATAAGGAAAATTACCCGTTATAGTCTTATGCCGCTAAGGATGCCCTTAAAGGTATATAGGTATAGCGCTATGTCTAAGGGACCCGCCTAAAGCCTAATGTTAAGTTGTCTTCTAAAACTTAGTTAGAGTTTAAAGACCGACAAGATAAATGGGAAGCAAAAGATTAATTAGCGCGTACGTAGATCTTTGCTAACTATATTGCTAAGGTTTAGTAGTCGTTGCTTAGTCTCGCTATATCGTAGGAAGTATAGACTTACCTATATAAGAAATACACTAGTAAAGGTAGGTCTACTAAATTTATGCTCTACTAGGAATATATTACCCTTCGGTATAATAGCAAGGACATTAAGAAGTTCTGTAATAAGTATAAGAAGAAGCTTAGTACCTTAAAGGATACTAAATTAGCTATTAGCTAATACTAGGCTGTCTATATGTTTATTATATAGATCTCTCTATTCTACGAGGCTTTCGTATAGATGCGCCGAGAGCAGATACGCGCCTCCGAATACACTATTAACGATAACATACTTAACAATATTATTAGCGCGTTGCTTAATAAGAATGTAGCTTAATTAAACTAGGCCTAATACAATAGCTTCTTTGGTCTTTAGCGCTAGCTACAATAGCAAGGTAGCAATAGCAATAACAATAACGGCCGAGGTAACTCGAACCGTAGCGGTCGTAGTAGCCGCGGAAATAGTAACAATAGTCGAGGCCGCGGTAGAAGCAACTAGAATCAGAATAGTTACTAGTCCAACCGTAAGAAGTACTTACACTATTAAGGCACTTACCCTTCCGACCGCTGCTATACTAAATACCCTTATCTAAAGGAGGAAGACCGACTGCGTCGTAAACAGCAGAAGGCTAAGAAGAAGGGGGTGCAGCAATAGCAGCAGCGTAGACTGACTGCTTAGTAATAGCAGCTGTCTAGTTAGGGTAGTTAAAATGGTGCTTAGGGGTTGTATGCGGCTAATACTACCCCGGGGGTATTATTAGACCTAAACTATAATTACGCCTTTACTGCAAGCGCTACTATAGTTACTATTAGCGACTAGGTTTCTACGGCTCTTACGGCTAGCACTCGTACTACTAATTAGGTTGTCGACTTAGGTACTAGTATATATATAGTTAATAACCCCTTACTGCTTATTAAATATAAAGGCTGCTACATTCCTATCCGGTTTGGTAGCAATACAAAGCACGCTACGATAGTTGGTATAGCTTAGACTAAGGTTGTTAATAAGCGTAGTATTAGTAACATAAAGCTGTCTAATACGCTGTATGTTCTAGGTCTAGCAGCTAACCTTCTATCTACTAAGAAGCTTGCCGATAAGGGTTGTTTCTACCGAAATAATAAGCGTATTCTGTTTACGATAGTAGAGGGCAATAAGGTTACTGTCGCTTAGACATACCGTAAGAATAGTCTTCCCTACCTCTATATACTAACCTCTAGTCTAGATAGTGCAGTAGTTGCCCTTCTATCGAAGAAGGGGGTGCCTATAGGCACTATAGATAAGTAGCATCTGCGATATAGCTATATTTATTACCGCAAGCTACTAAGAATAGAATCTAAGGGTCAGATTGTTATTACTAGTGCTAAGAAGGACTTCCGCAACTGCATTGCCTATCGTATAGCTATGTTATATAAGGAATACAATCGGCTGCTACGCGTACGACTATCTACGATCTATTATATTGTCTATGTAGATGTAGTTACTATTACTAATCCTAGTCTGTTGCAGGAGCGCTATTTTACACTGTTTATATACGCCAAGTTAGGCTATCGACACGAATATACTAGCACGCTTAAGTTAGGGGCTATAGTGGCTATTAAGGACTATCGTGTATATATCCGTATACAGACTAGTTACTCAATCCTAATCTATCGCCTCGATAGAGGGAGTAAATATAGCGGAAATTAGCTATTAAATTAGGCTCGAGACGAGGGCATTATACTGCAAGTTACTGCACCTTATTTATTAACTTAGAATAGCCTTGCTAAGGTTAGCAATTATATCGTATATACGACTGCGAGAAAGATAATGCTGCAGGCTAACCTTCTAAAGTCTCTATAGCTATATACTGTTGCCTCCGCTATACAGGTCCTTAATATTATACCTAGAACCCTAGAAGGTCTTAGTCCCTATACTATTATAGCTAGGGAGCTTAATTGGTCTCGAAAGCAGCTACGCCTTTAGCACCTTCGAGCCTATAGCTATACTACTATTGTCTACGACTATAGTATAGCTCGTAGCAAGAAGTTTAACGCTCGTAGAAAGCTTAGCAAACTAGTTAGTTATGCGAAGGACTTAGTAGACTCTAGCAAATATATAATCTACTTGTCTAACGAATACAAGGTTGTTGCCTCGAAGGATGTCTAGTTTATTAAGTTAGGGGACGATAAGTTGTCGCTTCTAGAGGGCATAAACCTATATACTAATACTAACGACCTCTCTAAAAACGAGTTTGTTACCCTTAAGTCTATTATGCCGGCTTTGTTTAATTCTATAAGTAACGAGGCTCCGTCGCCTGCCGAGGCTACTAGTATAGTCGAGCGGCTTCCGGCTTAGTAAGAAGAACAGCCTATATAAGAACTAGCTTAGGAGGTAGCTAATAAAGTCGCTAATCTATTGCCGCTCGAGGATAACCTGCCGGCTGTTTAACCTCTATTAAGTAATAAGGATAGCTTCTAATCCGCTAAGGAACAGCCTGTATATAATCTATAGGCTAAGAAAGGTAAGCCTAGTTAGTTGCCTAAGTTTGAGCGGCCAACCGAGACTAGTAGTCGTTCTATACGCAAGACACGAAGCAATAAGAGCGCTCGTAAACTGTTGCGTAGCTATCTGGCTAATGCTAGTATTAAGCGCTCTACGCGCCGCAATATAGCTAATATACCTATAGCCTATATAAAGGGCTTTATAGCTGCCTGCTACGTTGCTAAGCAGAATCCGAATAAGGAGGCTATTCCAATTCTAAAGAGCTTTAAGGCTGCAAAGGAGTTACTATACTAGCTATAATAGAAGGAGGCCTATAAAGCTAAATACAAGTTATTAATAGACAACTATATATAGGTATACGTTTCTCGGCTAGAAGTACCTAGAGGTCGCAAGGTTGTCCGTAGCCGATAGGTATTTACTATTAAGCGTAACGCTAATAGTAAGGTAAGCCGGTTTAAGGCTCGATAGGTTGTCCGTAGCTTTATATAGGTTAAAGGACAGGACTATAATAAAACCTATGCGGCTGTCGCCAAGCTATCTACGCTGCGAGCACTATTTAGCCTAATTGCTTATTACGACCTAGAGGCTAAGCAATATAACATCCTAATAGCCTTCCTTAATGCGCTTATCGGTAATAAGTATAAGATCTACGTTAAGTAGCTACATAGCTTTAAAGACCGTAGCGGCAAGAATATAGTCTGTCTATTGCTAAAGGCACTATATAGACTAAAGCAGTTACTAATACTATAGTACGAAGAGCTTCGAAAGTACCTAAAGAGCCTAGACTTTGTACTAATAGTAGCTAATGTGTGTGTGTTTAAATACGTTGTTAGCGGCTCTATTATTGTTATCTATGTCGACGACATAATTATTATCGCCTACACTCTATTAGCACTAGAGGCAGTAGCTTAGTTACTAAAGGAACGTTTTAGTATATAAGAGCTAGGTGACCTATACTACTATCTTAGTATGCGAATTATTCGTAACCGCGATTAGCGTACTATTTACGTCGTTTAAGATGCCTATTTAAATAGGCTTAGTAAGAAGTATAGCATGCAGGGCCGAGTAGCTCCTACTATACTAATAGCACCTCGATATGTTAAGACATCGATTTAGCGTACACCTAAGGGCTACACTGCTAGCGCTGCCTTTAAGACTTAGTATTAAGAAGGAGTTAGTAAAGCACTATAGCTAGCGATAATTACTCGGCCTAATACTTGCTACACTATAGGCCTATTATTACGATACATTTCTAACCCGACTAAGGAACACTATACCGCACTTCTTTAGCTTATTAAGTACCTAGTTAGCACTCTAAGCCGTAGTCTGTGTTTCCGAGGCATATAGAGCGATAAGCTTAACTTTGCTAGATATTGTAACGCTTCCTAGGCAGATAATCTAGTTACTCGTCGCTTTATAGGAGGTTTCTACTTTACGCTCGCTAGTAGACTATTGCTATATAAGTTAGGCTGCTAGAGCTTAGTCACTCTGTCGTCTATAGAGGCTAAGTATGTCCAGTTAACAACTAGCGCTAAGGAAGCCGTTACTTTAGCTCGGTTGCTATAAGAGATTAGTTATAAGGGCACTATTAAGCCTGTTACGCTATACGAGGACAATTAGTCCGCTATTGCTATTACTTAGTCGACGAGTGTTAATAGCCGTACTAAACATATAGATACTCGAGTGCACTATATCCGTAAGAAGATCGCTAACGGTACTATAACCGTTACCTAGATTAGCACTTACGATTAGATTGCTAATAGCTTTACTAAGCCGCTTAATAAGCTTAAGTACGCTCGCTTCGTTAAACAGTTAAACTTAGTAGATTGTAAGGCTGCTATTAAGAGCGCCGCTTAGCCTGCTACTAAGTACTAAATAGATAGATGTTAGGACTAAAGAGGTTATACGT